AAGGCCGGCCCGTGGCTCACTCGGTAGAGTGCGGTGCTCATAACACCAAGGCCACGGGTTCAGATCCCTATATAGGGATGGCCGGTTTGCTCACTAGCCCAGCGTGGTGCTGACAACACCAAGCCAAGGGTTGAGATCCCCTTACCGGTCATCCTAAAAAAAAAAAAACAAACTATAGTTGTGGTGTAAGTTATCAGTAGTATTTGTTTTTGAGTTTACTACGTAATGTGTACGAACTCATTTGAAACAACCACTATACAAAGGGAAAAATGCATCTTTATGATGAAGGGATTGCCAGTCACCGACTTAGCTTCGTGCTCATAGCATTTTTAGTTGGTTTTGAAAGTTTGGTAGAAGGAATAACATGATCATTGTGTTTTTGGAAGAGGAAAAGGCAAGAGCATTAAGCTAGAGGATTGGGAATTCTGGTCTTAGCCAGCTCTAGTTACTAGTTAGTTACCTCTGTGTGAACTTTGGACAGTTCACAACTTTTGGATCTTTTCCCCCGCCTTTTTATAATAATACTTATATGGCACTTACTATCTGCAGACACTGAGAGCTTTGTGTTCGTATTAGCTAACTCACACTACATCTCTGTGAGATAGGTACTTTATCATCTTCATTTCACACGTAAAGGAATTAAGGCACACTCTGGTTAAATAATTTGCCTGAAAACATCATCTACAAAGTGCTGAAAGCATGTTTCAAATCCAGGCAGCTACTAGCTGAAGTGTGCCTAATTGCTATGCTATGGTACTTGTAAGAAGCTGCAAGACCGAAACCAAATCACCTCTTCAGTTTCTTCAGAGCAGATTCAAAACATATATGGGCAAAAATAATTATTCCTTGAAAGACAGTCACTGCTTGTTTGCCTTATTTTAATCAGACAATGTTCTTTAAATTCTTAAATTGTTTTTTTAACTTGATTCGGAAACTGTTTCAGAGAATCCAATTATGAGTCCTTGGTAAAATAACTGATCATTTCTTAAGTTTGCATCTTTATACGTAGCTGTTGCTTGCAATTCATTTCAAGGTCGCATTCAGATTGGATTGTCTATTCCTTTGCTCACTTTTATTGTGAAGAATTTAAAGTTGCTTTGGTGTCATGATGCTGACTCATTTGCCAGCAAATACTACCTAATTTACAATATTTTGAAAATAAGAAATTTTAACATCCTGAATTATTAGCCTTATGCACTGTTCTGAAGCTTCTTGTTAAGGCCTTCCATTCTACTGTTACCATTCTCTTGTTTTTCGGTTTTTGGTTTTTTGGTGGTTTTTGGGTATGGGGATCCAAACCCCTGACCCCTTTGTTAATTCTGTATTGAAGGATTAAAAAGTTTTGTAAATTTAAGAGGTCTTTTGGTTTAGTAGTATGTTACCAAACTAGAGTTGGTTCTTTTTTAAGAAAATGCTGATTTTCAGAAATTCCAATATGATTTCAAAACATCAAGGAAATTAGACGTGTTAATTTTTGGAAACAGACACTTTACTTATAACGTACAATAATACAAAATACATTTTTTAATTACTTGGCACCTCTTAAATTATGCCCATAAAAAGAAAAGCGAAATCTATATCAAGGGAGAGTTGTTGCCTGGGAAAGGCCAGCTGATTTGCAGCTTAGATGTCTTCCAAAGTGATATCCTGGTGCGTTTCATATTACAGGATTTGTCTCCAGTGTTGTAGGTTTGGCTAATTTATATTGTCATTCCCTGAAGATTGGGACGTGGGAGTTAATTCACACTGTCTACTCCACACTTAAAAGGGATGTAAGTCATAATAGTAAGTTTAAAGTTATCGCGCCTCCATTTTTTATCTGTAAATGGAATTGGCAAGGACACCCAACTCCACTGCGTTTTTTGCCTTTTTTTTTTTTTTTTGGCAGCTGGTCAGAAAGGGGATCCAAACCCTTGACCTTGGTGTTCCCAGCACCACACTCTCCCAAGTGAACTAACTGGCCAGCCCCTGCTGGGTTTTTTTGAGCATTAAACGAGTCGATATATGTAAACTGCCTAGTGCCTACCAAATGTTGGTGTCTTTCCTTTATCATCAAATGTATTATTGGGGAGCAGTCATTGGAAAGGTGTGGAAGTAGGCACCTCACTATTTTTATGTCTACCACCTATTAATCCTTTATCTTGCAGATAGCAGCATTTTAAGCTTTTCCTTCACTGTAGAAATAGTCCTTTCAGATATCTTAATCTAGGTAAGTTTCTTCAGTCATTAATCCTGTAATGAACTAATTTTTTTACTTCACATATATCAACAGTTTAGGAACTCAAGCCTGGGACAATGGTGTGCATTCCTTGTATCGTCATTCCAGTTCTGCTCTGGATCTACAAAAAATTCCTGGAGCCATACATATACCCTCTGATTTCTCCTTTTGTTAGTCGCATATGGCCTAGAAAAGCTGTGCAGGAATCCAATGATAAAAATCAAGGCAAAATACACTATAAGGTAAGAACATTCAAATGCCTTGGATAAGGGTGGTACTTGGGTAAAACACTTGGCTTTTGGAAAGTCAAGTTTTTGGAAACAGAGGCTTCAATAGTATGTTTTAAGTAATTAACATTTGGCTTAAACTAAATTTTTAAACTAGGCCTCTGATTAATAAATTGCTCCTTCCTCATGGCCAAGATAACCAGTATTTCCTGACTAGTAAGAGTAATGGTATATAACTAATAGAGGAAAAGAGGTGATAGTAATTTAAGCCACTTTCACTGATTGATAACTTTGGTAAGAGATTTAAAACAAGATGTAGGTTTTTTTTTTTTTTTTTTTTTTTTTTTTTTTTTTTTTTTTTT